TGCCTGTAAAATTTCTGCGTGAAAATACAAGACTTTCTCCCTTTTGAACACAGTAATTTTTATTTTGAGCAACGTTTAAAATATTGTAGAAGAGTAAACGAGACTCAATTAGAATAAATCCTTGAGTTCTGCTGTCTTCATGAGTTTTAAACAGCTTTCTTTACACTGTAAAAAGCATCTCTGGATATTTTTCTGCTGGAGATACTGTCCCCCTAAAAACAACAGCTAAACACATGAAACCTCCAGCTCAGGAACGCTATAACAACATTTCTGCAGGTTTAGACCTTTTCAAAACCGCGGTATACCTTGAGCACGGTTATCGCATCATGCCTATGAACAACCCTTGAGCTAACACTTCAGCACAATAAACTACTGATGAGCTGATTGTGGATAGTTCTTCAGGCAGATGTTGTGTTTGGGTGCTGGATCAGGGATGCAGAGTGAGATCAAACTCCTCATCAGCAGTTATTATCCTCATAATGGCCAGGAGATGAACTGAACTGAAATATTACTGAAGACAAGCGTGAGCTCTTCAGCAGTGTGAGGATGAGATGATGCACATGTTGACTGCTGTGTACACTATTATTTTACATTACATAACCTCATTTAATGGTTAGAGTTACCATGAGGCACAGTGTGTGTGTGTGTGTTCATTTAATCCTGTAGTTTATTGTGTGCAATCTCTACAAAATCATCTCACTGTAAAATCACTAATACAGGTGTTAGACCAGATGTGCAGGAATGCCAGCACAGGTTCAGGTGTGTGTTTTAGGACCGGTTTGATGATGATGATGATGATCCACTACTGATGTCGATTATTGTAGATCTCACAGCATCTGAGTACAGCAGCGCAGTCCAGTTGATGTATTGTGCATTTCAGCAAAAGGCTGGTCAAGTTCAGCGGTGGGAGAGGGGAGAGAAGAAACAAGGAGTTCTGTAACTGACTGTAGCAATCAATTGTGACTAACCCACCGCCTTCGGACCAGCCGAGGACAGAGGCGGAGCTCTGCGGTATTTACACCTGCGGGAACACACATCAGTGTCGGAGACGGTGACCGAGGGTCACAGCACTCTCTTTATTATCCAGCGCGTTCATACACACTTCTGAAGGCAAACTCTGGTTTCAATTAAACTCTAGAAATATTCCTGGAGGATATATGCGAGTGTTTTATGCCGTTTCTGTGCTTCGGAGCAGTGCATGATGGGAAATCTGCATAAATCACGGGTAAAAAGCGTAACGCTGGATTTCTATATTTAAGTACGTCCTATATACATGTTGAAGTTTATAACACACGTTCTAATCGTTTATGTTTTTGTGTGAAATATAAATGACGACTCGCGATAGCAGTAATACAATGTTTGCGGAGTTGCGTTTAACCGAGCTCGGCTGTGATTGGCTTATCTGGAGAAAGCGATTAGCAAAGTAACAGCGACATCGTGCGTGTTTCAGAATTACAATCTGAAGAATTGCAGACCTTTATATTTCAGAATTCATCTTCAAATTAGTCTGTTTTTAACATCTTGCTCATTTTAAAAACAATTATTCCTTAATTAAGGATTTCTCTGTGCTATAAATAAAACACGGTGTGTTTGATATGTATGTCTGATTACAGTACAGCAGGTGTCGCTGTTTCACACACACACACACACACACACACACACACACACACACACACACACACACACACACACACACACACACACACACACACACACAGACTGATCAACACACACCAGCTCTTGAGACCCGCTCCATTCTTACCTAACGTATGATAGTTACACACACACACACACACACACACACTGAGTTACTGACAGACTCAAACACACACTAGTACGAGTTACTGACGCTAATGTTACTGTCTCACACATAAACACACATACAGATAAGATTTAATGTCACACACACACACACTAAGTTACTGATAAACTAAGAATTAGTTACACACACACACACACACACGCGAGAGAGAGAGAGAGAGAGAGAGAGAGTTGCAGACTTGAATGCTTTTATTGATTATTAGGACTCTAATTAAACATGTCTATAATATCAAAGTGTTTGATTATTGATTGTCTTCCACACGAGCGCTGTCAGGACTGTGAGCCGTTAATGAAACACACACACACACACACACACACACACTCCTCTCACACACTCTGTTGTTGTTTTTTTATTCTATGCGCGAGTGTAAATCAAGCGCGCCCCCGATCACTCTCACACACACACACACACACACACACAGTCATTCTCACACACAGGGAGAGAACAGACCGAGGCGCAGTTTGAGCTCAGACTGGTGTTGTTGATCAGTGAGGAGTGAACACACACACACACTCTGAGCAGCGAGGGCACTGGATCTGGAGCTGCTGTCTTCTGAGGGCGCGAGATGAATCCTCCGTGCGCGCGCTGCGGGAAAACCGCGTACCCGACCGAGAAGATCAGCTGCCTCGACAAGGTGCGTCCATACACACACCTGCATCATAATAACACACACACACACACTCAGACTGTGCGCAGATACACCGATTCATCTCTTATATAATCAGCCTCATCAATTATTCATGCAGAGTTTCTTCAGTCACTCAGACTTTACTCACAACACAGCGAACACACACTCACACACACACACACACACTCTCAAACTGATGCTGGAGTGTTTATTTGGGCTGATGTTATTACAATAATTACATAATCAACACAGTATGTTAATTGCATGCTAATCATCTCATGCAGGATTCCTCCAATAGGAACCCGTATGTTAATGAACAGCGCGAGTGTGATGAGTGCTTGATTGTGATTGGCTGATGAGCAGATGCGCGGGTATTTCCAGATAAACTGTCATGCTGTCATGTGTTCATGAGGAATGAGCATTACTGCTGTGTGTGTGTGTGTGTGTGTGTGTGTGTGTGTGTGTCATTCATTCATTCTTCATTCATTTTCTTGTCGGCTTAGTCCCTTTTATCAATCTGGGGTTGCCACAGTGGAATGAACCGCCAACTTATCCAGCACGTAATTACACAGCGGATGCCCTTCCAGCTGCAACCCATCTCTGAAAAACACCCGTGTGTGTGATATTATTGGCATATAATTTATGGTGTTTTCCAGTGTGTTTGTTTATTTTTGTGTGGCCATGTTTGTGTGTGTGTGTGTGTGTGTGTGTGTGTGTGTGTTGTGTTCAGAACTGGCACAAAGGCTGTTTCCACTGTGAAGTGTGTAAGATGACGCTCAACATGAAGAACTACAAAGGCTACGACAAGAAGCCGTACTGCAGCGCGTGAGTACACACACACACACACACAC